CACACACACACACACACACACACGCGCACGCACCACGCACACGCACACGCACACACACGCACACGCACACACCAATAACTTAGGGCTTCCCTTGGAGGTTATTCTGACGTACTTTCAAAGTGATAATGATACACCCGCTCCACAAACCTCAGAACTAACATGCTCTTTGATAGTTTTTCGATGCAAACCAACGAAGCACTTCAATGACTCATAAAAGGTGTATTTCAAATGCGAAGTGTTGTTTCTCTGAGTACAACATTGTGATGAGGTCACACCTCACATGATTGTGTCGACAATGACCCGTTTAGCTCGAGTTGGTTTTGTGATGTTTGTGAAATAATGGATTGGGTTTGTGGGGTAGGTGGGTGTGGGGGTGTTGGTGGGTGTGGGATAGGTGGGTGTGGGGGTGTTGGTGGGTGTGGGGGTGTTGGTGGGTGCGGCGGTGTAGCCCAATGGTTTAAGCCCTTGCCGGAATGTTGCTAAAAGCGGCGTCAAACCACATTCACTCAGATGGCTAGAAATATTATGTTAAAGCTACGAATCAATATGGAATTGTAACAAAGGTGCCTCTCCATGGTGACAGGGGCAGAGCAAGGATACATTTTAATGTTTGTGATGATATTTGGCCTTAAGATGAAAGGGATTCTTTCAACAATCCGACTTCATGAATGTGTGGAATTTGCTGGTTTCCAGTATTTCGGCTACAAGCGTAATCATCACCATAATGTGGTTGGGTGGCCTCGTGGTTAAAGCGTCAGCTCATCACACCTTGTTCGATTCCCAACAACGGTAAAACGTGTGAAGCTGTTTTCTGGTGTCCGCCGTAATATTGCTGGAATGGTGCCAAAAGCGGCGTAAAACCATACTCAGTCACGTGACAATATGGCTGCCCGCGCCGTAAAGCAACATTCATTAACTCATTACAGCGACCGCTGTCGTAGTTGTAGCATCGATGTTGACAGGACAGATGCAGATATCCAAACAATTTAAATGTAAATACTTCATCAATTAAAACCAAATAAAACCCGGGGAAGAGTGTTTATGTTAAACCGTTTCCGCTGAGTATATATTTGTCTGATAACGACCTGACAGATTATCGTGAGGGGATGCCATTTAAACCAGCGGGCCCATAAAACAAACATGGCGTAAGGATCTTGGCACGCTAAGAAAAATCTCTTTAAGACGTCGTCATGCTTGATGAAATGCTTGAACAACCTCGAGTCGATTACTGATATTATTCAGTACAGTAATTACATATCTTCCACCAGTTAACCGCTGGAGATGATTTAGGGCATGTTTCCGTCCATGCGTCAGCCATGTCAGCTGGAATATTGTGTAATGTGAAGCGTTATGTACAACAACTACATCCACGAGAACACGGTGGTTGTGTTGACGCCGATGTAGCATCACTAATGGCAGCTGTGCGTGAGGGTTGTTGCATAATTGTCGACGTCGTCGTGATCACGCCGCCGTTGCTGCGGGAAAATTACAGCTGGCGTTTTTATTAGTTTATGATTATATTGTACGAATGGAATTAATTGCTGTGTCTGTGAATATCAAATGTAAAATGAGCGGGTGTAATGGGTTGTGAGAAATGCATTCTCCTTAGGTTCCAACACGCACGTATCTGGTATTTGAACGAGGAAAAACGGATGCAGGAAACGTTTGATGTCCTAGAGCTTCCTTTGTTGTGTTTCTGTAATGCTTCCCGGTCAACACAATATGTAGTGATGACACAGATGAAAGTGATGATGAAAATGAAGATTATTGTGATTGTGAAGACGTTTTTGCTACTGATGGAAATCGTCATAAACAAGATGGTGATTACGATGCTGATGAGCATGAAACGATAGTGAAATGTCATGTATGTATGTATGTATGTATGTATGTATGTATGTATGTATGTATGTATGTATGTATGTATGTATGTATGTATGTATGTATGTATGTATGTATGTATGTATGTATGTATGTATGTATGTATGTATGTATGTATGTATGTATGTATGTATGTATGTATGTATGATTGATTATCTTTATTTCCTCCAAAAATATGAAGATTGTTACATGTTACAACAAAGTGTCAAGTTGAATATACAATGAATCAGTAAACAGTTAATTGTGCAGATATTTTAGAGTGACAGACTGACATAAACTCAGCCACTTATAACATAACTCCCTCCCATTCTGTCATATACTCATTGTAGGTACTGGTATACAGACTTCAAGCACATACTCATTGTAGGTGCTGGTCTACAGTCATCAAGCACATACTTATTGCAGGTACCAGTCTACAAATCTCAAGCACATACTTATTGTGGATACCAGTCCACAGACCTCAAGCACATACTTATTGTGGGCACACGTCTTCAGTTCTCAAGCACATACCCATCATATAGGCACTTTCAGTTCTCGAGCACATACATATCATTGGCACCGATCTTCAGTTCTCAGGCACATATTTACTTACTTACAAGCACATACTTCGACCAGCATGATGAAGTAGTCTCGTCTATCTTTCAGTCTGTTTATTTGAATGTGTCCTTTTAATCTTTATATAAATTTATGTGATTAATCTTATCAAGGATAAGTGATTCGAATTTAATACTGTTTTGGATCTGAGCTTAGCTGTACAGAGGTTGACAGCCAAGAAAGCCCATTTCCTGATAATCATATAAATTACCTCTTATTTTATTTTCATCATATAAATCTATTATCTTATCATGGTTTATGATACACGACCCCATCTTTATCTTGTACTATCTTATCACATATTTATAAATGTTCTTCACATAAAAATTAGATAAGCATTATATTTGACATGTTAAGTATGTAAGTAAGTGAAGCTGATAAATCTTCTAACAGTAAGCCCCTGTTTACAGGCCAGTATAATGAGACATGGACCTGCATTTATTACGCGCTAAATTTCGTTCGCCACGTGATAGCTCATGGTGCTGTATCTATACGTTTAACGCTTCATCTGAGTGGCTAAATGTGTGATGTAAGGATAAGTGAGTGAGTGAGTTTAGTTTTACGCCGCTTTTAGCAATATTCCAGCAATATCACGGCAAGGACGAAAGGATAAGTGCACGAGCTGTTGATAGTGCTAGCATATCTTTCCGGCAAAGACACCTACTTAATGCTAAATTGGTATATTTGGAATAATTATTGATTTCTTCCATATACTACAAGGAATACATCGTCCACAACAGTCATGACTCTACCAGTCCGGATTACAAGGGTTCTATTCTAGCGCTGATGTCACGTGGGTGTTAATTTGTTTGTTACGTAGCGTCACAGTCGGCATGAGTACATTGTAACGAGTACATTTAATATATAATGAGCAACGAACCACGCGGTCTGAGTACAAAGACACGCACTTAACCATGTCAATCGAGTAAAAGCGTTCTCTCGTCACGCCGAAGGCCAGGGTGATTCCCCACATGGGTACAATGAGTGAAGCCCATCTCTGGTGTCCCCCGCAGTGATGTTGCTGGAATATTGCTAAAAGCGGCGTAAAACCATACTCACTGACTATATTTAATGTCATGTCATGAGACATCGCATGTCCTTAACGTCTTAGTGGTATACTATACACTTTGTGATAATCAGTGATCCTTGTAAAATATATAATCCGGACATAAGTAGCCTCAGCCAAAGTATTATATACTCAAAAAATGGTTTCTTCCTCTCATCTCTAATTTACATTGTAAAATATTTCACAAAAAATAAAACGGTTATGATATTCTTAATGGACGTAAAGAGAGATGATATTTCGCCAATAATCCTTTCGTCTTGGGCATGGAAGAAAGCTGAATGTTTGTTCGCTGACTCATCAATATATCGGCACAGAAACTAGATATATACTCATAATAAGAAATAAGAGAACGGGTAAAAATACTGTTCTCTTCAGATGTCATCAAATTATCTGCCTAGGGAAAATTGAGCACCGCTCTATAGGTCATTATATATCTCCAGCTTTAATGCATTTAATTTCAGAAAAATATGCCGATGACTTTGATCTCATATTTAGAAAATTATAGGAACACTGGTCAAGGAAGGTGTATTTTCCATGGAAGGTCAAGTTACAAGGTCAAGGTCATACATAGAGCAAAGTAGCAGAGGAAATAATGAAAGTAAATCAAACTAATTATTGGTAACATTATGCTGTATTTGTATATTCAAATCAATTATTACAATGAAACTTTACATAATTATACTTTAATTACAAGACATGAGATTAGTCATTTGAAAATCGATTTCGCTTTCTGAAATTTACAATTCGAGTATGTCACTTTGTAAAACAGTTTGTTTTTTGTCAGGACGGTAATCCTGTATTTGTTGTAACTGAATTATATACGGTGTGCCTAACTGTTGTCAAGGCGTGGGAGCCACGGGGAGAAATGATAACTTCATGATCAAATAACTGTGTCTCCTTGGGACAATTTACACCATTACATCCGTTCCCTTATTACTTTCCATGAGTATATACGAGTGCCTAAAAACATCATGTGTAGAAGGGCGGTGTCGTAGCCTTATGGTTCAAGTCTCGCTCGTCACGCCGAAGACCTGGTTGTAATTCCTCACATTGGTACAGTGTGCCCCCGCCGTAATATTACTGGAACATAGTTACGGCGTAAAACCATACTCAGTCAGACATGAGCAGAAGCAACTGTCACCACAGGCGCGTCTCGGGCCCATCTGAGCGGATCTCAGGCAGAACCAGATCAGAACCGAAGGCTTTATCAACACAGGATCTTGTCCAACTTGATACAAACAACATAAAATACGGATTTTTTAGAATGATTTATATCAAAATATTCAATGCAACATTGGCAAAAACAAATGCTGGGTGATGACGTCACAATGGCGAGAATATCGAGAGAAAATATGATAATGAGCAGAGCGACTGTGTTGATTTATCACGATTTACCAGACTATATCGAACTCTCAAATTTTATGTCCGTGTAAATTCTGCAAACGGACCTTCAGTTTTTTTAAACACACAAAATTAGGTAGAATGAAAACGTATCTAAAAGTGGTTCGTGAGACATTCAACATGTCAATGAGCGGAGGGACATGTTTAGCAGTCGTTAGTCTGGAAGTGAAGGATCGAATGTGGACATGGGTTTAGTGAGATCCTACATGAAGGAACGTACTGTCCTGGAATGTGGACGTGAAGGATGTGGATGGTGGTGTAGTATGGGCGGAAGTGGGTCGGTACGAGGGTAGATCGGTATAACGGGTGGGTGTAAGGGTGGGGTTTGGTGTGGACACGGTGCTGCTGGCGGGGTAGCTGTGGGGTACACAGGCCAGCGTTTGTTCTACACTGTAGGGCAGCGCTGCTGAGGTTGGGAATGTGGACTGTTGCCGTTGTAGAAGGTAGGCATGCAGGTGAGGATGTGGATGTAGATATAGGGTGTGTATTGGGGGGGGGGGGGGTGTCCGCGACTACTCTGCAACGATTGGTCTCATGACGTTCGAGTACATGTCACAGTATCTTTCTGTATATATCTGGTACATGATACTGCAAAACGTTAACAAAGGTCAAAGAAAACCCAACGCCCTCCACTCATTAACATACATCCAGCGCACACTTTACACCTGCACACTATGTCTTTGTTGCACTCAGCAATATCCCAGCTATACGGCGGCGGTCTGTAAATAATCGGGATCAGACACTCCAGTGATCAACAGCATGAGCATCAAATTGAATATATCATTACCACAATACACTTGAGGTCCTGGCCATCAGAGAGATGATATATGATATACAATTATGTATGAGATGTATAAATATGACCATCGCAATAGCCAATCAAACAAGGTAATCAAGTGTTACCGTGAAATTTGCAAAATGCAAATTTCACACAAAATGTAAATTTCACAGAGACTGGTTGCCCTAATGACCTAGATATGATATATACAGCAGTCGGCACAGCGTGAAATAGGTCAGTTGAAAACGACGATCAAAACAATTACACGCGATTGACAGGTGGATCGAAACCTTTCGTGGCAATCGCTAGAAACACGGAAGAGATCGAATCTTTTCCAGGAAATCATGATAAATCAACGCTAGTTTCAAATCTGATAATAGCATAAACAACATAGCATGCAAATGATTTTCAGGTTTCTTACAAAAGAAATCAATTACAGAAAAGTACGCCACTGTTTGAAATGAATCACAAACGACAGCACATCATTGCTCAACATAAATATCATATATCGTCAATAATGTCGTTAATATACCGCAGTTAAATACTGGTGCCCAACCAATATACATGATATACAATAACCGCCGTTAAAAACGGTTTATAACCTACGCAGACACCACTTACAAGAAGTGAAAGACCACCAGTCTTTCATATCAGTATAGTTCTGTCATCAATTCATCTGATGACGTCGCCTGTCATCACCATAAGCTATAGCGATATGAAAGTACCGGCGGTCTTTAACTTTTTTAGCGGTATTCCTTCACTGGAATGGGTTCCGGGGAATGGTGATGTTAATTTCATACTGTTTGTTTACACGTGTTCATCACAGTCGTGAAATCTACATGAAATTGACAACATGAAACATGTTCAATCACATTTGGATCTTTTAAATATTGATTTACGCCGCTTTATGCAATATTTCATCAATACGACGACGGGGGTACTATACAGATGTTCTTCACACATTGTACCCATGTGTTTCGAGAGCACTATTTGTTAGACAATCAAGGCATGTTCAGCCTTTCACAGAAAGAGTATATTCAACTTTTACTTCACAGAAAAATGTCAATTTCAGATATATATTTTCTAAATTATCCCTAAATTGCGCAAATATCGTAACAGTTAAGTAATTTTAACAACGCAATAAGGCTCGTATACTTTTAATGATAAATCGATATACAACCCAAGCCAAAAGTATTTTCTCGCCACAACTACGACGCTGAATGAGGTATGACGAATGTAAATGTCATACCGTATATTCCCTCCTATATTCACATGGTATGTCATACATATTTGACGATATGGTCCTTTTACCCGACAGTCGAGATGATATAAATAGAAAATGGAACAATTTGGTAATTTGGTAAATTTTCAGAAATAACACAAAATGCATTCTTTGTATGTGGCATTTCAAGATAAGAGCCGATACTCGCATTAATTTGTTGACGAATTAATTTGTGAAATTGAAACTGTATATTTCAACGGGTGATGGAACACATGTAAACAACCTCCTCTTTGTGGTTATATTCTAAATAATTTGAATATTTGTAATAAATTGCACTTTCAAACAGACTGTACAAGGTATCCATTAAGGTACAGATGCATCTCGGATTTCAATACAGGTATCTTTTCAAATAGGCATGAATAATCATAATGCACAAATTCTCGAATACACCCGATTTAGTAACAGTGATGTCTGTTCGTGTTACACAATACATATCAATTTGTACAGTTCAAGATTGTGTAGCGAATTGTCAAAGTCAAATCCGTGTCAATTTCAAATATAGACACCACGGGTGAAACTCACTAACAACAACCGTCCCATGTGTAGTCCAGTGGAAAGTTTCTATTGCTTTCATTAGATGTCGAGACACAGCGATGGAGGAATATCGGCATCTGGCAGCAAGCCGTGTTGTACATAATTACATTCACAACATCGGTTTAATTCTTTAAAAGCAATTTCAGAACACACGTCTCTGTTGCTGGTGTAATTTCAAAGCTGATCAGGAATTCCCAACACTGTCGGCACAGAGGCCTCGCTCGCTGAAGCAACGAGTATCACGTTTTTCGCCGTTGCCTGGCAACAGGAAACCTCTCTAATTAAGGAATCATACAAATCGCAACACAGACCACAGATTCAACAGTTCCACTGTGGTGTTTTTCCTGCTGTCTTGCTGCTCGGTGCTGGGGGATTGAATACTGGGAGGCCGCGGGAAGATGAGTCTATAGGTGCACGACAATCGACTACCCAGGTCAAACACAACATTGTCGATCGTTCCAATACGACACACCATCCCGTGTAATGAGTCATGGTTCTCCCAAGATAGACGATGCTAACGATTAAACACATACACGGGTCTCGCTTAAGCCACTTTCAACAGCATCCATTTCTCTTCTCTCGGCACAAGTTGTCTCCCCTGTCTGCCATTAATCATCTCACGTGACATATTGTCATCGGTTATTTGTCATATCATTCATCTTGAAATTGAAATTGACATCTTGACACAGTTAACTATCGCCGTAAGGCACAGACTCCTTTGTACTCGCCGTGGTGTCATAGTCTTGAGGTAAAAAGTCACGATTTGTAAAAAAAAATGTCACATACAAAATTTATTTGTAATACATTTTCTACGTTTCTGGTATTTTTTGGTGTGTGTGGGAATGTATACAAATCACTCCCGGTGCCTTCGCTTTTCGGTGTTCTGTCCAAAAATACACTTCCACAAAACCTCCAACAAAACATTCTTACTCGCTCCATCATTTGACAGAAGATTCCAATACTTCTGAACATCCATCGCGAATAGCACTTTCAAAACCTTCTGAGCAAAACAAGGTCACCGCGGCCTTGAAGGCAAGGTGAGAGGTCAGATCAAGAGTCATAGGTCATGTGAAGCATGTCTGTTGGTGCCTCTACATTATCCAAGGTCGTGAACTTTGTACACACGAGGGATAAGTGCTAAGTGTGTTTCTATGTTGAGAAATGAGACAAATAAATATTCCAGTTTGCACAATGTTGAGTGTGATTGGCACACTTGTGTTGGTGGAAACACAGACTGGGTGAATACAATGGATTCAAAAATGTTTTGGGTACATACAAGAAGAAGACTTCCTCCATCTTGAGATTGTTCACCAACACCCCTGACACACGAGGATGAATCCACTACACAGATGTGCCGAGTCTTTGATATTGTAATATCAACATGAATCACGATAGTTGTACACTTTGGTCCAAGAGTCCACGGGATCCTATTTAAGTCAGGTCCGAACCAGAACCCACGCAGGTGGCCATCAATACCTTACCCACATCACTATCATATATCAGTTTATGCACTTGTTTCCGTGTGGGTCTGAAGAGGGACTCTCTCTGGTCCGGGCCCGGCCCCACCGGGTCTCTCTCTGATTTGAGCTGTGTGGTGAAGGGAGTGGGCAGCGATGAGGGGGTGGTGGTGGTGGGGTGGGTGATGAAGGGTGTGGTGTTTGGGTAGGCCCCGGGGTGGCTGGTAGGGCGGGGGTGGGTAGTCCTCAAACAAAAGCTGCGCTGGGAATGCCGGGTGACGCATGTCCTTGACATATGTTGCATGCCTTGCCCCGTGGGCGTGGGGGTGGGGGTGGCCGTGAGCGTGACCGTGACCATGGGGTACGGCAAGGTGAGTGTTGATGCTCTCATAACTCCGTCTCTCCGGGATAACCTCATAATAGTTCTCTGAGCTCGACTGGCTGTAGTCCGTTTGTCCCTGATCGGACAGGGACGGGTTCACGTAGAAGACGTCGTCCTGTGTCATGGTTGCTTGGCTCGACGTCACGGAGCTGCCCTTATTCGCAGTCCGGTTCCGAGTTCCCAGGAGCCACAACGCGAAGAATATGGCAGCCAGAATGAGGGCAACGCCTGCCACCACCCCTAGACCGATAGCTACAAACATGTACCTATCCGTGGGAGCGTTCACAGGAGGAATGTAGGTCTTAGCAAGAGGGTCGTCCTCACACTCGCCATAAAATCCAGAAATATTAAATACATAGTTCAAATTCAACGGAGTCTTTGACCCACAGCGACTGAGAGCGAAATACCAAGTTCTGGGCCCGCTTGATCGGAATATTCGCTCCCCGAGACACACATAGTAAGACTCTCCGGTTTTGTTCCAGACATTGCATCCTACTGTTTTGTTGTTCTTGTACAACGGGATCACTTGATTGTTGTTGGCAGGGAGAATGTTCTCCCGTTCCTTACAAGTCATCCCCTCTTTTAGTTCCCGAATCTGATCATCGTAGTATATAAGCAGGTTGGTGCAGCATTCCGACACGGGGTATGAGATCTGGTACTGAATCTTGGCCCAGTCTTGGTGGAAAGGTTTCTGAACGAGATAACCGTACCATTTCAGTTCTGTATATACACGTCCTTTCACTGTACACACGGGAGGGTCCTCGCCCCTCACGGGGAGCTCACAGAGGAGAACTAGAAGAATAAATCCAGGGGTAAAACCCCGCACAAACATCCTTGCAGTGAGAGAAACAAACGCCATGTTGGATAGCTCGGTAATCTAGCTTACACTGACTACAGCAGACGATCAATACCCTTCAACCTGGAAAATCAACATGGCGGGAGAAGCAGACGACACGGTGCGGTTACCTGCAGCCTCCGAGGAAAGCTCGCGATCTGAGTGGAGGGCTTGTTTACTTTTCGTTGAAATATGTCCGGAATTCCGTCGTCTTCGATTTTCAGTGAAATTTTATCACTGAAATCCTGTCTGAGGTTGTTGTTCACGTTTGAGTTAAGATGACGGGTTGTATGTTTGATAGCGACCGTCCGTCAAACGTCTTGATGATTCTCTCAGTATTGGTTTTCACAACAGCACAGATATCTCACAAAACTCCGCTGTCTTCGGAAACGAATATAGATTTGGTTAGTTCTAGCATTAAAGGTCGGTGTGGTTTAAGTTGTTCCTTGAATATAGTCCCTTGGTATATTCAAATTCAGAATTCACTCGAGATTAATTCCTTAATTCCCTCAATATGAAATTCCTCGATATCACAAGACAATATGAAACGTGTAGGGTAAATCGGTAAACAGCAAAATCCTGAACTCTCCTCCGATCACAACACTTTCAATCCACAACAATCCCCTGTCCGTGTACGATCCGAGAATACTAAGGCCCGCTGGTCCTCACAACAGCTGAACACTCACGCGACTCGGCAGTCGAGTACCACACCGCTAGCCCTCCGCTTTGTTCTGAGAGGGAATCTCTGCTTTGCCTCTGATCCCGTTCGTTTCCCTTGCTCGACTGTGTGGCTCTATCAGCTCCGAGGAGAGACTACCACTAAGACACTACGGGCAGGGCTGCAGCGCTGTGGAGCACCGCTTCATGTACCAGGCAGGTCGTTCAGCAACAGCTGGAAGGGCAGCAGTATTGGCAACAGTTGGTGAGACGGGAGGGGTCGGTTGTCAGTGATGTGTGGCCGTGGGTTTGGGTCGGGCACAGTGAAGTGGGGATTGTAATACGATCCCTTTCTTTATCACGGTCTGTGCGGATTCTGTTTCACTATCGTTCTTTGAAAACCGCCTCAAGAGATGTCGTCTGTTTGGCGATTATGACTGTCCTGAAATTTGGAAGAAATTTAATTCCACGTCGTTTGTTGTGGATGCACGCACCTAGTGAGATGACCTCTGTTTTAGGTGTTACATCCAGTCGGGAAAAATGTGGCACACAAACTGTCGTCTGCTTACATTCGCAACCAGACGATTCCGTTGATGTTATCAGCAACCGGCGTTTGTTATCACTAACTCAAACAGGAAAATTCCGAGGATGCACAATGAGTTTCGGGTTTGTTTCACGTCCTCACCCCGTCTTCAAATGACACATACAGTATGTCGTCTGCTGTGGGAACTGTCGTCTGCTCCAAGTAATCCCGTGTCAGCAGACGATCCTGGCTCACAAAGACACGAAGGAACGCGGGGATTGCAGATCGAGAGTTTTGGGGGGATCAACAATGTTTAAAGAGCATTCCTTGAAACTTTTCTCTCTGCTCGTGGAATTACTGGCATAAATATCTCTCTAATGATGGCGAGCTTCGAACAATGCACTCGATGACAGACGTCGCATTCGGAGATTCCAGTTATCAAAACTGAACAACATAAAAACTTTGAAAAGTCTCAAATTGTTCCAGCACAAAAATGTGTCACTGTGTTTGAAAGAGTCCTTCAGGTTTCAAATCGCAGTTTACTCTACACTTGAAATGAACATCAACTCCTGGGAAGGATGGCGAATTATTCAACCCCAAAGTTTCATTTGTTCTCTCACTTGAAGTAATTTGTCACTTCTGTCATTAATGACAATTCAAATAGTCCCTCGTCAATCAGGGTTGACTGACAGGTCGTCCAGCGATTTGATTGGGTGATCACCAGACCACCTGCAAAGGAATAAAGGCTATAATTAGTCATCTGTGAAATTGACAAGCAATGTAACACTGAATAAGACATCATTAGTGGTATGAATTGGGAAAGGCACGTTAATAAACTTGTAATAAATGATGCAATCTTACCAGTAATAGGACTCTTAGTAGTAATACTATAAATAGAACACACGTGTTCAACATTTGCGTGCCCAGAGGAATACCAACACGAATTCCACAGCTACATAAATAACATCATATTTATTCTATGGCCTTAGTAATGCCCCGGAAGGCATATTCCCCGAAGATATTTTAGTTATACAAAACTAGCTGATTATATTTTGACAGTTATGTTTATTGTTGTTTGTTTACTATTCAGCGAAAAACATGGCAAGTGCACGTGCAAGTGTTTGCCAGTTTATCATAGTTACTGAAGATCTTGATGTAAGCGTTGAATACAATCACCCATATTAACAATATACACAGGCTTCACAATATTTATAACAACAGTTGCGCAATAATAATAATTAATATCATATTAATAATTTTCTTTACAATATGATGGTTATTCGTATAAAAAATCATAAGAATTTTATTATTGTGAGAAAAATAATTTATTTAATAGTGTATAGCATCATAACCAGTGTGAGCGTTGTATGATGCCACTGACGAAGATATTCTAATTCCAACCACCTAACATGAAACGTCGTACTTTTGCTTTACCGTTGACAGGTTTCCACCCAGAAATTCAATACATATAACTACACCATGTATACATAAAACACAATGTGTTGATGCCTAACACAATGTGTTTAGACCTATCAAATATTTGCCTATCTTACACATCATGCACACATAACGCAATGTGTTCCCTTAACACTTGACAATACTGTTCTATCTATCCAGCACATTGAGAACGTAGATTTTACCTTGAACAAAAAAGATTTCTATCCCGCTCTAATAATATCTTATATTCGGACAACGGCGAAATCATGACGAATGGCTGATTGTTTTATGACGAATATGGTCAAATTACAGGTGGAAGGAGATTCATGAAATTGAGCCAGCAAAATTATCGCAGCACGCGTTCCGCAAATATTTACCACCTGTATTTCCAGGTAACACAGTACTCAAAACATATGTAATAACAGGCATACTCGGAGAGCGGCGAGATCAAAGAGATTAGTTGCTAACAAAGGACATAAGACGATGATAAGATATAAGGTAGAACGTGATAAGTATTATTCGGCACGTGTTTATTATCGTCAGCGGTGTGAGCGGAACAAAACGCTGTGTTGGGTTTGTGAGATTTTATGATTTAATTAACCTGTATTTCCCAGAACTGATAAGATATGTGCAATTAGACACAGGTGGCGGCTTGTTATGTCAAGAATGTTCAGGTAATAAGCTGATCGGGTTTATGGTTTTACGGCTCAGGTATCGCAAAGTAGGAATCCATGTTTGTTGATTTACTTTGAGCTGATTATAAACAGATGACGTCAGAGAAAGGAATTTAAATCAGAGAGTGTGAGTGAGAATAATGTTACGCCGCATTTAGCAATATTCCAGCAATATCACGGCGAGGGACACCAGAAATGGGCTTCCCATGTGGGGAATCGAACCCGGGTCTTCGGCATGACAAGCGAACGTTCTAACCACTAGGCTAACCCACCGCTCCAGTTCTTCGTGGAGCGTTTTGTCAGCTGGGTGTATTTCCAAGGTGAGTGAATGAATATGGCTTTAATACGCACGCTACGACGTCAGTAATGAGGGTGCATCGGAAATGAGTTTTAAAATAGTATCGCATCTGGAACCTGATCCAAGTTTTCAGCGTAACCAGCTAATCTGTAGACTAACGCTTAGTTTCTGAATTTATGTAAGTTTGTTAGAAACAAATAATTCATTTAAACTGAAAAGGAGCCCCATTGAGATTCAGAACCTGAACCCGAGGTTCTAAACTTGCTTTATTTAGGGCTTTAGCATTGCAGAAAGGGAAGGCGGAAGGGAAAATAATGTGGTTCAAAGACTGTGAGACAGATCATCCAGTCTGTTCCACAAACCTTGGCAAAATATACCCAACACAGTCCATGCAAGTCTACAATAGTTGGCAAGCCTTGATCACTGTAGAAAATAAAACGAGTTTCTGGATTCATTATTATTTTGTATTATGATAACTCAGCACTATTTTGTTCTGTAAAATATATTGATTTCCATGACGAGATGTAAGTGTATGTGATGAGCGAGCACCACCCACCAGACAACACATCGCCCATCCTGTCTTGGTGGGCAGTGAGACTGGGTTATCAAGACGCTTGGGTGAGTGAGTGAGTGGGTGGGTTGGGTTTACTCTTACAGCAGCTATCAGCGATGAAGTAATTCATCATTCATATGTCGGCTTAGCATATATTTCCGTCTTGGAACTGTCACAGTAAGTGGGACTATAGTGCCATCAATGTTGTGGGAGGGTCGCCATATTGACTCAGGACTGGAACGTATATTTGACTAGCATTGATTTTCTAGTATTTACCTGTAATTGTATGTCGGCAAACAATTAACACAGGATACGTTTTATTAAATGTCTTACGCGAAATATACACAGAAGGTGACTGAATAGTTTCCACATTTGTTCATGTAATCGCATCACGGGATAAGTTTTATAAAGGCAAACTTAATGGTTAACAAGTTTTTTTATTTCTTCACATTCACGAAAGTTGTTGTCCATAAAATGTGTCTATATTGTACTTCCGAACATCTGACATAGCACTCAAAGAAATATACGTTTTATTAAATGTTTTACGTGAAATATACACAGAAGATGTGTTTAGATTTTATTGTGTATTATTTTTGAAATGTTTTTTTTTTAAATTCAAAACATTGAAAAGGATCCTGAAATATGTTCCCTTATCAAGCGTCAAGCGTTATATTCAGCATGTAAGCCACGATTCATATTCAGTATATACATATTTAGTATATGCATATTTACAAAAAAATTAAATTTTCCGTTACAGTTGTTGACATGTGTCGGAACTAAGGAACCATGCGTTCCATTGGTATGCACATAAAACTTTATTAATAATTCATTGTTTAAACCTAATAAGAATTTGTGTTTGTAAAAACATTGCAAAATATATAAGCAACTTGTTGTATAAGTTTCCATATATCATTAACTTTTTACAAATCTTATCCTGTATTGAATTTCAGACAATACCCATTTGTTCGAAATATACAACCAAACTCGGTTCAGGAGCTCTCCAGGAAATATTCGAGATGAGATAGTGAGTGAGATAATGAGTGAGTGAGTGAGTGAGTAACTATCTGGATAAATATTATTGATCATGCATAATCTTATGATCTAGTATTGATGGCATTTTAAATATTTATGAAATACAAATCAGTGGTATGTGCAAATATTTTCAACAAAAACAGAAACATAGGTATAAAATTACAGAAGTGTTTTCGCATAACCTTTTTCCTCGAGTATATTAATTTTTCATAGATCAAGATAATCCCTGGTGGAAGTAGTGGGTTAATGGGTGGGGAAGGATGTGGAATGACGGTAGGGTGGGATGGGGTCACGTAGGTGGGCTATACCACACACTGAGAATTTTCTGTTGTACAAGGTTGTAAAGTGTGTGGACTCACTATGGCGGGTGCTATTTGGTATACTCGACAGGTTGAATACAAACAGTGATATCTTTTCTTGTGTGTGACACCCCATATAACATTGGATAAATAATATATACACCCACACCTGATAATGTAAATATAATAAGATATTGGGTAAGAAACAATTCAGTAGTTGACGTCGATAATGCATGTTTATAATTTTTGTCTATATTTTTCCAAAGTAAAGACATTGCTGTGAGCTCGTAACATCGAGGTTAATATGTCAACAAATGGCCAAGGACGTGCACGAGTTTGTCCTACTATTAGGCTATCTGCCTATAAGCCCTGTTTAATGTATCTCTGGACTGGTCAGTAGTGAAGAGTATTTTATCAATTCTAGTCAAGATATCATTGAATATTGTTTACATTTATGACGGTGATATCACTGAATATTGTTTACATTTATGACGGTGATATCATTGAATATTGTTTACATTTATGACGGTGATATCACTGAATATTGTTTACATTTATGAGGGTGATATCATTGAATATTGTTTACATTTATGACGGTGATATCACTGAATATTGTTTACATTTATGACGGTGATATCATTGAATATTGTTTACATTTATGACGGTGATATCACTGAATATTGTTTACATTTATGACGGTGATATCACTGAATATTGTTTGTTTACATTATGGCGGTGATATCGTGTAGGAACTATTCAGTATATCACACTTCCTTTATTTAAACAACTTTATCGTCGTGCAACTCACAGGTTTAGCACCGTAACAACAACCCCAACAACATCTCACATTGTCTCAAAGGCCTGTTTGATATCTAACGCCAAACTGCGAAGGTATACAAGCTACAAGACTCTGAATTCAGATAAACGAGTCTGGATCAGACCAACCAGTGAATGATGACACAACCACTGCGAACATCGAACACAGCGTCTTTATACCCAACACTCCGTGACATGACGACCAATCATTCCAGTCTCACCACCCGACATGATCACCTGGTACGAGAATTAAGCTAAGATTGATGGCGACCTAGTTCACGAGGACTCTGGGGCGTACAGACGTACAGTAGGTGGTACAGTACATCACGACAGTTAACATTCACAAATTACAGAGTACAGGTCGTGCAATCAAGGAGGCCATTTTCAGCCTGTCACAAAGAAACTTGTAGCCCCAGCGACCAGTTCCGTCATGGCAGCAATAACTACATGGTGTAAAACTGGGTGGGGCGTCAACGTTCAGAAATAACCCAGATTAGAGTCAGATGTTGACGTTTCGTCCAGACACTGACAAAACAGCTGTACAATTGTTATTTTGTTGGGAAGAATGTGGCATACTCTTTTTCCCAGTCCTCGCGGCATATAAACATTATTTTACCTTG